GGGTGTGTATATATATATATATATATATATATATATATATATATATATATATATATATATATATATATATATATATATATATATATATATATATAGTCAATGCTGTACCTCTCTTGCATTAACTAATTGTCACCAAACATTTAAGCACATAGGACTTTTCTCTCGTTGATTAATAGCAAACTCGGATTGATTCTAATCCACAACACGATACTAATTATAGATGTGATTATTCGCTAACTTGTGAAGACATGATCATGATGTAGTTTGTCATGAGAAAAATATTATCTTGATACTAATTATTCAAGTTAAATGTTCAACGGGAAGGTTGTTGTCACTGACTCGATCAACACAATAATCATGATGTAGTTAGTCATAAAGTATATGTTCTCTTGATACTAATTATCCAAGTTGAATGTTCATAGGAAGGCTGTTGTCACTAACTCGATCAACACAATAATCATGATATAGTTAATCATGAAGTAAATGTTCTCTTGATACTAATTATTCAAGTTGAATGTTCAACAGGAAGGCTGTTGTCATTGACTCGATCAACACAATAATCATGATGTAGTTAGTCATGAAGTAAATGTTCTCTTGACACTAATTATCCAAGTTGAATGTTTGCTGTTGTCACTAACTTGATCAACATAATAATCATGATGTAGTTAACCATGAAGTAAATGTTCTCTTAATACTAATTATTCAAGTTGAATGTTCAACAAGAAGGCTATTGTCACTGACTCGATCAACATAATAATCATGATGTAGTTAGTCATGAAATAAATATTCTCTTGATACTAATTATTCAAGTTGAATGTTCAACAGAAAGACTGTTGTTACTATTAACACAATAAATTATGATGTTGTTTGTCGTGAAAAGAAAAAAGATCAAACATGTAATGTTATCCAGAACGTCTACCCAATAAAACTTTTGTATGAAGCATTAAGGAAGAGATCGACAACTAAACTTTACGTTAGGCTAATAATGCATGAATATTGACTGCATCCGGCGCCAAAAGTAGAAATAGTAATATGGATACGCAACAACAAGTCAAAAGTACTGTCGCTCTCTTTTGCACCCGACATGGAAAAGCGAGTTTTACGTGCGACGATTTCCTCGTTGGCTTTTTCTTTTCTTTTTTATCGGTGACATTCTATCAAATGTTTTAAGTCGGTAATTCGAGACACGATATGATTTTTTTTTTATAACAAGATGTATTAAAGTTAAATATGTTTGGTGATTTCTTTAAAAAAATATTTACATTTTAAATATTTTCAATCAGTACTTATATTTTATTTTTTTTCACATTGTTTCTCAAAAATTTTCGTTTATTATAATATATTTTAGTTGGTCATGGTATTTTTTTTATCTGTTATAATACTTTGGTCACCACAATAAAAACATTGTATGATGTATTTGAAAATACTATAAATAATCTTAATAGAATCTTAGCTTCAACTAATATAATTAAATACCTAATGTTGTAATGATATATGGACAATGATAATGAGAGAGACACAATATGATGTCACTCATAATATTTTTAATATTTTAATAAAATATTATAATTTTTTTAATAAAAAATATAATAAATGAGTCATAACAGTTAAAAATTAATTAAAATAAATAAACATTTTTGAGAGATATTTTATGTATTTTTTAATTAAAACTACTGCCTGAAAAAAAAAACAAATGTATTTTTCGAGAAATCACCCAAATATGTTTTGTTTCTAATCTGAATAAATTTCCGATGACTAGTCAAAAAATAATTTTACAGGTAATTGGTTTGGAGTCAAATTGAAGGAGTCCATGGTGTTGTTCAAACTTCAAACCCCAAGTGGACAATAGGTTTCTTCTGGGAACCATCAAGAGTGAGATTTGAACTTTCTTTTTCTACTTCATTTGTGCTTCAAAATCAATGTTGTCAATTTTTAGCTCAAACAGGTCCCAACTCAGAAAGAAATAAAGAAAGCTATTTATCTCAATCCTACCATGAACAGGAAGAAAATTGCAGAGAACTGTAACAAATTCATTGATGGAGATTTGACATGTTAATAATAGAATGGCATTGAACTGGTTGGTACACACTCTTTTTCTCATGTGATGCTGTTCTAAAAGGGCTCAAACAGAGAAAGAAATGTGAATGCAATGGAAATTAGGAGCTGTCATAAATGATAAAATGTCACAACTATTTGGTTGGATCGATTACATGAATCTTTCTTTTTCGGCCATTGAACTTCAAAGTTCATAAGACCTGACAACAAGTGAATTAAACTAGCAGAATTGGTGCTAGCCATCTCAGGACATGCAATCAAACACAAATAAAAGATTGCAAATAAAAGGTATTAAGAAGTTCCTAATTGTCTAGGATCATTCTATTTTAACTGTACAACTAAAAAGAGAATCACATTACACATCGAATTGTGTTTTAGCATAGGATGATGACACTTTTAAGCGCAGATTCAATTTCATCTTTGCTCTACCATATTCTGGTTGTTTACATCCAGCTTGATTAAGAATGATGAATACCGATATCGGTGCATGCTCAGGATTTCTGGTGCATAAAAGCTGCAGCATCAGACATCTTGTTTTGACTGTCCTGTTCGACCTTTATACTCCCAGGATCATCGACGGCCATGGGAGTAATATCCGGAGCCTAGCATGCAATGCATAGAGGGAAATAAGGCATGTTGATTAGCATTGCTATAACTTGAGATTCAGCCATGCATTGATTAGAGATCATAAGAACTACCTTAAGGCCTGAGACCTCCTCAGCCATGGGTTCCACAGCTTTCGCATTATCTCCAACTACCTTTTGAGCTTCCTGCAATATAGTATCCAAATTAAATGAGAAGAAAAACTGAAGAAAAGGTTCCATGCATGTTGTGCGGAAATGAAGA